AAGTAATTTTTCTCATGTAATGCAAAATCTAAAGATTTGGTTAAGAAAACCCCATCAACTCACGATAAACACACTTATAACTTGAGATTGCAGATAATGCCACAATTACTTTTTTCATTCAGAGACAAGACATGCTCAAGTTGTCTTACGTACTCTAGTTTCCATGTGTCACATCATTCAGAGGGAGATTAGACTCATGGCCTTCCACAAACACTTGTATCTCCAAAGATAGAAATGAACAGCTAACTTCAACTAAGAAAGAATGAAAATCAAGTTACTACTTTGATGTCATCATGGCAAATTTCCAGGACAAGGGTTTGCAAAATCAGGCACACACTACTGGATTTAATTGATGCTTAAAACAAAACAGAAATGGCAAATGCTGGGAACTCTGTTCAAGACAGACTTCCGAGCCTTCTTTTAACAGTGATGGTGGTCCTGAGTCAGTGACCCAAAGATTGCCCAAAAAGAAAATACGTGGCACGACTTTGCATCAGCCAAACACATTCAACACACCAGAGAACACCATGGTGCCTCATACTCCTCTCCCTTCCTCTCTTCACCAGGGGGAAAACATGCTTGACCAATCTGATAGCTTTCTACGATGGCGTGACTGGCTGGGTAGATGAGAGGAGAGCAGTGGAGGTTGTCTACCTAGACTTCAGCAAGGCTTTTGACACTGTCTCCCATAACATCCTCCTAGGGAAGCTCAGGAAGTGTGAGCTGGATGAGTGGTCAGTGAGGTGGATTGAGAACTGGCTGAATGGCAGAACTCAGAGGGTTCTCATCAGCAGCGCTGAGTCTAGTTGGAGGCCTGTAACTAGTGGTGGCCTGAGGGGTCAGTACTCGGCCCAGTCTTGTTTAACTTCATCAATGACCTGGATGAAGAGTTAGAGTGTACCCTCAGCAAGTTTGCTGATGACACCAAACTGGGAGGATTGGTGGATGCACCAGAAGGCTGTGCTGCCATTCAGAAAGACCTGGACAGGCTGGAAAGTTGGGCAGAGAGGAACCTGATGAGGTTCAACAAGGGCAAATGCAGGGTCCTACACCTGGGGAGGAACAACCCCATGCACCAGTACAGGCTTGGGGCGGACCTGCTGGAGAGCAGCTCTGTGGAGAGGGACCTGAGTGTCCTGGTGGATGACAGGTTAACCATGAGGCTATGAGGATAATGAGGGGACTGGAACATCTCTCCTACGAGAAAAGGCTGAAGGAGCTGGGCTTGTTCAGCCTGAAGAAGAGAAGGCTGAGAGGGGACCTAATAAATGTTTATAAATATCTTCAGGGTGGGTGTCAGGAGGATGGGGCCAAACTCTTGTCAGTAGTGCCCAGCGACAGGACAAGTGGCAATGGGCACAAACTGAAGCAGAGGAAGTTCCGTCTGAACATGAGGAAGAGCTTCTTCCCTCTGAAGGTGACGGAGCCCTGGAACAGGCTGCCCAGGGAGGTTGTGGATTCTATTCTCTGGAGGTATTCAAGACCTGCCAGGACAAGGTCCTGTGCAGCCTGCTGTAGGTGACCCTGCTTCGGCAAGGGGGTTGGACTAGATGACCCACAGAGGTCCCTTCCAACCCCTACCATTCTGTGAAAAAAAGGGAAGAAAATATGCCTTGGTAAAAATACCTATGACATAGCAGAAAAGAACATAGAAAGCTGCATCAGCTTTGAACAACATGAGCAACAGTCTGTGCTAAAAATAAAGTCATTTGGAGTCAATTATTTGAAGGCAATATTCCAAAATATGAAGGTTCTCACAAGAGTTTGATATTGGAAAAGGACTGCAGGGCCTGCTATGGTTCAGGCAATCAGAGAGCACAAGAGGATTTCAAGTGCCATGCCATGTAAAGCACCATTTAATGGCTGAACACACGGTATATACCATAAAAATACTTCCATTCTCAGATCAGAACTTTCAGAAAACTCACCACTGAGCCCAAAAATTTGATCAGAAGCTCATTTACCTTTCTCCTCAGAACGTACCGCTTAAACACTTGGAGTCAAACAAAGACTTTTGGAAGGATGGAATCAGAGAAGAACAGTACTGTTATTCATGGCATATTGTATGTAGTGTGCAAAGAACAACAATATTATTCTTACTGACTCTAAGTAACTTTTTGATTATTTTCTCCCATATAAGAATCATATCTCGGTCTTTAAGAACTATAATCTTTAAACTCATCTGCTGCAAGTTGTGTGCATATTTGTTTATGAGGACTAATACTTCCTATGTACTGAAAGCCTTAGACAATGTACCAAATAAAAATTGACTGAAGTATTGTATTGTATTAGAAGATGGAAAATTTACCCTTTTTTAGTAAATGTCAAATCATTGGCTATCGCTTTTAAGATTAATAAAAGATATAATGGTTTCTAGATAGTCTCTAAATAAAGATTACTATGAATGGAGAAATGATTTACCAATAGTCACCACAATGAGATTTCTTTAAAGGTTACAATCATCAGTTATTTAGCTGAAACACTGCTGAGAATGCCTGGTCATTTCTTGAATAATGCATAATGTTCATTGTAGATTTGATCTGTATTATAACAATACAGATATTTCTCAAATAATGGAGAAAACTATCTGTTACTTTCCAATTGCTCAGGATATTTCCATGAAGTAATTGACTCTGAAAATATTATATGGAGTTACCTGAGTGTTCATTTGCAAGCACAACTTGTAGTGATCGCTACACAATAGACATAAGAAAACAAACTCATCGGCTTTTATAGACTTTTAAGAAAAGCTGTGATAAATACAGGGCAGAGTAAAGGACCTTCCTAAAACACTAAATTAAAATGATTAAATTGCTGTACAGTACTGGGGGACAAATTTAAAACTAAGCTTTGAAATTTAATTATTAATACAAACAGACCAACAAGTTTGGGGAAAGAAAAAAAAAAGCAGTTGCCTACGCAACATAAGTATCTCTCATACAATTTTCCAAATACCTTTAAGTCTATTCAGAAGATTGCTTACGTATGCACAAAGTATAATGTCTAGTGTTTTTTTGTAGGTTTATCAACTATACTTCATGTGAAGCTGCAAGCTATTTATGTGAGCTTGTTTATCCATGTGAACTTCTTCAAGGGCAGCAAAAGTGACCTTAATAAATGAAAATGAATTTCTTTTGATGTAATTTCATGAACATTTGATCAGAATGCGTTAACAGGTTTCTATCTAAGGAGAACTGGTGAAGTAATAAAGTATACCTGTACTATACAGTTAAACCTGTTAAACTCCATTCCCCTTATGCCTATAGGAATGTGCACCATATCACCAGAGGGGTGGAGGAGCAGGACTATTATATCATATAGTGTGAAAAGATATTAAATGTATACCCAGCTTTTTTATAGAGAGAAACGTGTTAATCTAGGCCAGACTATTTATGCTGTTGTCTAAGAATAAGGTTTAATTCTCCCTTTCTCCCTTAAAATTCCTTTCTTCATTAGAATCTTTGCACAAAAAAAAGAAACTTCAGTATTCAGGTATATATTCCACAACAAGATAATGAAAAACAGATCCCAGATACTCTGAAAACATTCATAGAGGTCTGCAGATATCAGACTTTCCATAATACAGGACAGCTTGTAGAAGCACTGTATGTCTGGTAGCTACAGGAATTTTGGAAGGAATTATTTATTTTAACAGACAAGACCACAGATCGTACAACAGAGTCCACTTTACATTTGTCTTGAAACACTGTTTAATTCCCTGAGAATAAATCCTTATCCTGAAAGCAGGGAACATTTGCATATTATATCAAAATCTTGATAAGCCATGTTATACTCACGCTCTGGATGATGTAACTATTACTTTTTTTTTCTCCCCATGAAAATTGTATATGATGTGGTAGATAATATAAATAAAATGCATAAAATTATGCAAATATGTCCAGCTACTAAATCATCTGCCTGAGAGTCCTTTGGTTTTTGCCCTCCATGTCTATCTCTGTCCATTGAAAATTACAACTTTCCTTAACTAACGTTACTTCCTTCACATAGAAGAGCAGGTAAAGGCCCTTTGCACCATCAACACCAGTAACCCTTCATGAGCAGTTGTGGGTTGATAAGTAAGATTCTATTTCCCTCTCCTCTCTCCACCCTTAAAGGTGGCTTTTTCTTTTCCCTCGTGCTATGTACCGTCCACATAGTTCAGTGCAGATTAAGAGTTTAAGTTTTATAATGTGTGGAAAAAACCTGAAGGGCTCAAATCTCATATGCCTCTTTCTGAAATATGTTTCCAAAATGTGAGATTAGTAGCTAAAATAAAACAGGTTAGTTTTCTCTGCTGTCAAAGCCAGGACAACCACATTTCTCTGGTTTTGGTAATTTAGAGTTCTGTTAATGCAGCTTGCTCCCTAATTTAAGCTATTTATCAGGCAGCAAGATCACACTCATCTATAGAAGTATCATGAGTAGTAAAAGAATTACAAAAAAATCTCCAGTTTACAGAATTCATTAGAAACTTTATTTAGCACCAACACGCACACCGCCTCTAAAATGACTGATTCCTCTATTACCTGACTTTTATGGAAACTCATGTCTAAAACATTGATTTTGCTGCCCAGCTGCTTGTCTGAGCACGAAAACAGGGTGTTTAATATTGAAAACAGTCCATTTTGGCTGAAATGTTGATAGATGCCTACTGTCTCAGAAATCAAAATAACTTCTGTACACATTACCAGATGATAAATAAAATCCCAGTCTCTAACCTGAAGATGTTAAAATTTGGATGTCATGCTCTTGAACTTCAGAAATACATGATTCTGCCTTTAAGGTTTAGCCAGAGAATTAAGAGATTGAGTCCTCAAATCAAGTAATAATGCCACGCTTCTCTCAAATGCATCCTTATACAAGACACTAAAACAAAGCAACAAAATTATTGCTAAACACCTTTAAACAATTTAGCCTACATCACCCAGAAGATTTACAGCTGTAACAGTTACATCATTAGGTTTGTTGTTAAAAAATAAGTAATAAGAGGTTTATTTCACCTTCACATGGTGTCTTTCTCATGCAGACCTCAGATTTCCACATTTGTATCCCTTTAAAGGATTTGATATGCAGGAAAAGAAGAAAGGATGATGGTAAAAATTTCAACTTAGAGGTTACTAAAGTCTGCCATATTCGATGTTATATAACATATTTACTCCATACCTTTTACTGATGTATTAGGTGGAGGTCCTTCCATTCTCAAGTTCCATGGAGGATCACCTTGATTAGCAAAGTCCCTCATTTTCAGATAGCTAATTGTAAGTCGGATGATAGACGCCTTGTCAAGCTGGCTAGTAATGGCTGCAGGCAGTGGCAACAACTTTGCCAACTCATAGAATTCAAAATTCTCCTTTCCCCGGCGAGAGCGAGCAGCATCTCGGGACTTTTCCTTCCTCAAAGCTTGTAAACTGAAAAAAAATAAACAAAGAAGGACATTCATCAATATTAGTGTTCTTCACTTTTAATCGATTTGCTTTTTCACTGGTGGTCTTCTATATGAAAAACCACATTTTAAAAATAATGCTGTATATGGACATACAGACTTCAGGATGTATTCAATGGTACCCCAGTCTTTGGATTATTAAAATTAATTATAATATTTGAGTTTCAGTGGTAGCCAACATATTACATAATATTTCAGCCACTTTCTTCTTATCCTGCCCTTCATTTTTCTGCTACCAGTCACATGAAAAGATTCCCAAGAACGCTGTGTACGTGTGGGGTTTATCTGCATAGATGCCACTGCTTCTCCTGACCCACCGTAACCCAATTTTGTCTAAATTTGTGCCAAATTTTGACATTTGGGAAAAGGAAGTTAAAGGCAGATGACTGAAGCGCGTGCCAGCTCTGACAGAGGTTGCAGTGCAGCCAAGATGTACTCAAGTTTCAGCTGGTTTCAATATATAATAATATAACTTAGTGCTGATGGTGGGATTGGTGTCTGCAAATCACTGTGCAAGGTGAGTAGAAACTGTCTTTGCAGCTCACAAAGACTCTATCTTTCCTTTGCTTCATTTATTTACTTACTAATTTGATGAAGTTACAGCCACAATTCCATTAACTAGTCATCGGTTTACAACAGAGTTAGAATCCAACCAATGTTTAATGGAACAGCAAACATTCCTCTCCAGCTTCCACAACCCTTCCTGAAACCCTGGATTTTATCAACAAAAAAATCATAATGGCCACATCTACAAAAGCACTCTGGCTTATGAAGTAGATAAGTAGAATTTAGGCACACAGATCTAATACCATGATTCTGAGACCTCTGTTTACATATCCTTCAAATCTGGAGATAATTTTAACTACAGAGGTTCTCTTATTTCAATGTTCTTAACCACCTGCATTTTTATGGCTGTCTTTGCCACCTCAGACCTGAAAGGGTATATCAGCTGGGCCCTTAAAACACAAATGAAATCTCTCCATCATAATTCCATGAGAATGTTTAACAAATTCAACTCCCTACATAATTCTATACTAATAGCAATTATATCTAAAAAGACAGCCTGCTAAGATATAGGGGCGGTGAGATAAAGATACAGGTAAAGATATACCATCCTATTCAATCCCACACTAAAGTACCTACTCGTCTTATGAATTCTATATACACCACCAGCAGCTAGATTTGTAAGTTATATTCTAGGAGAAATATACCTGAAAAATAAAGATGTCACAATGCTTATTGCAGATGCCTCTCTGTCCAATTCCAAATTTTAAATATCTATCATCATAGAGGTGTATTCAAAAGGTGCAGTAAAATATAGCTGATAGAAATATTATATATATGTACATATATACACAGAAACCTGGAAGCTACAGCTCTGTGTTGTGTGAACTGGCCAATTAATTTCAATTAAGTTTGAGGAATCCAGAAGAGCTGAGATTCTAGATCTATTCTGAAAGTCTGCACCAAGAGGTTCACACCTTCTTTCTAAAGAACTTCATTATGCCCCTATGTAAAAAAAGGGGCTTTTCAGAGATCCCTAGGAAAACAAATCAGAAACATTACAGATTTCAGCAACTTTTGAAATTGAAAAAAGTTAGAAATTGAATGGTGATGGAAAATTCCTTCGCAACACCAAAGACTGAATCCACAGTTTAGAAGTCCTGTATATGGTTCAAGAGATTGCTAAAACTGAATAATATATTGCAGTGTAAACTGACATAGTACATTTCCAGATCACTAACAGTTTGCAGTGGAAGTCAGTTAAGCTGAAAAGTGAGGCTACCTGCGTAAGTAAACAGCATGCTTTGAAAGTCACCTATGTGTATTCAAACTTTTACAATAAAAAAATCCCAAAGTACAAGGGATGGGGAGCTGATATAATAGATACACAAGAGAGACTCCTGCGAAACAGTGTTCTCAGTAACATGTTTATCCTCCCAACCATTTGGTGTACTGTCTTTTGTGGAAGCTTCACCGAGTGACTCAAGTCAAGGAGTTTTTAATTTGTAGCACTATCCTCTTGGCATCGGTGCATTAAGCTAAATTTAGAAACTGCGTCTGTTGAAATGTGCACACAAGTCCTAATTTCTACTCTACATAATTCCACTAAGGAAATACACTTGTAGCGTCGGACACTGCAGTTATGCTGATACAATAGCTCCTTAATTTAGGAGCTGTGATTTCATCAGCAGGAGCAGGAATTCATTACATATGACCGAAACATCACTGTTCATCCTCTCTGGCACCTGTGATGGACAGGCAACATCAGCGTCATCAGAGCAAAATGCTGACACTGATAATCCCAAGAAGATGCTAGGAAAGAGGAGCGTGAAGCTCACAACAGAAAGCAGTGGTGCTGACACAGGAGCAAAACTCATCTTGGGTCCTGTCAGATGGCATCAGAATTAGAGGTGGTTCTTCGTAACACAAATGAACTTGCTAGAGTATCAGGCTGCAAAAACTTAGAAATACCTGCAGGCTCTCCTGTTAATGAGAAAAATGAAAGTGCAAGAAACTATACCTGTGTTTACTAAGTGGATTTCAAAAACATTCAGAAAGCACCAAGAAAGCAAGCATCGCACATGTAAGGGCTCTTGCACGATAGAGAAGGTCCCCCAAGAGACAAGCAAATCTACTTATGCTATCCACAGTACCAACAGGAAAGTAACAGTGGGAAATATACCCAAAGGACATTAATATACAGCTCCCTCTTTGCCTTCTGTGGAGAAGGGGGAGGAGCTCAGATAATGGGATCAGAATGGATCACCGTACAATATCAAAGGATAATGTCACCATACTACAGCGAAATTTTGTGAGTTCCCTTCAGAACATACGTCTCAAAGAATTTCCATATACAGAGTCCACTAAAGAAGACTAAGAGGTTTCCAGCTGCTAGCTTCTGATAGTTCTGAGATGCAGTACCACATAAACAGGATATTTAATGGCTAGAAAACTAATGCTATTTTAGATAGTAGGTTTCTAAAATATACATTATTTTTCCTTTTAGGGCCTTTCCAGATGGACTGATATAAAGAGGGTCTGGCTTTTACAGATGAAAGGGTACAATAAATACTGCTACCTACTTTTAAAATGGTGTACACAACTTTTCTAAAGTAGATTTTCTATTGAAGACACAACAGATGCAGAAGACAAGATAATATGGTGTTGCATAAAAGTTTTATTGGTACTCATAACTCAGTTGTGATTTCATTGTGCTTGTGGTCATTCCAAGCTTAACCTTCTTCATATTTTATTTCACATCATTTTATATATTTTACATTCATAAGCATATACATGCATCCATATCTGTGTGCACACCCACAACCTCCACATGTCTGACAGATCGTCATCTGTCACTTTAAAGATGGGACAATCACATCTCAATTTTTGTAGCATATAATGGCAATCAAACATGTTACAGCATATCAACAGATGCACTGACCTACATCAGTAAGGATTTTTTAGCATTTCAATACCTTGCTTCTGTTTCTCAGTTTTGGATGGTCAAAATCAGTGATATAATTTAATTCAGTGACTTTGCATTTTGAATGAAAACAGAGGAATGGTTGTGGTTACAAACAAATATTTCTGTCTGCAATTCCAAAATGTAGCCTACATGCAGATACATCGCAGACTTGCCCAGTTTTAGAAAGGCAGCTCACATTTACATTTCACCTGCACTGTTCCGTTAAACCAGACACAGGCAAGACCCCACCAAGCGGGGCTTCTCAGAGATGTCAGTCTCCCCCTGCTCAGCCCCACATAACAGCACCGGTGAGGTTTTATGGTACCCTCACTGCACCTGTCATAAATAGAGATTGGATTGGGGGCGATGGCCATAAAACAAGGTTTGAGGGACAGATGGACTGCTGAGCTCCAGATATAACGGCTCCAGCCAACAGATGACTTGTCTGCAGTGTGGCATCATAGTTTTTAGTTATTTTCATTAACTACAAGTAGAGAGGTATGGCAACCTCTCACAAAGGGCACGCAGTATTTCTGATAATTCTGTTAAACTCCTCCCTGATTTCAGGAGAAACTTTGTAACTGCAACAGTATACCAGAACAGAGCACTTTTTCTTCTAATACTAAACAATATCATACTTGTTAATTCAGCTGTTACCGACCACTAACAAATTTCTCAGGCCTCTAGCAACAATACAGATTAGTAGCAGCAAAACCAGATACAGTACAACAATAACACTGAACAATATCTAATAATGTTTATAACAAGCTTTATAGAGAACGAAGCAATATGCTTGTAAGTGTGTATTTTTATATTAGTCTAATCTTTTAAATTCAAGGATCAAAAGGTGCACTATTAACATTATCCAACTCACCAAAGGCCGTAATTAGATGGATGTTACATCCATTTCACAGAAAAGAAATCATATATATGGAAAGGACGTGCAATATCAGAGCACACAACGAATCTGTGACAATAAATATGGACTGGAGCTAAGTGATCCAACCCCATCAACCTCCTGAAAGACACTTTCAATTACGTACATCCTGTGTATATTGTTTTCCAATATAAAGAACAGAAGAATGCTTACTTGCTAGTGAATTTAGTTGTAGTATTACCTAAGGAAAAAAATCTATGCTGCCTCAGAGTCCACAGGTGTGCATTTGTGCAATTGTATGTGAGATACACGATACACCAGAAAGATCCTCTTTTCTTCTTACCTAAGTTAATACGTGTCCTGGTTTTGGCTGGGATAGAGTTAATTTTCTCCCCAGTAGCTGCTATGTTTTGGATTTGGTACTAGAAGAATGTTGAAAATACACTGACATTTTTGGTTGTTGCTAAGAAGTCAAGGGCTTTTTTCAGTTTCCCAGGATTGGCTAATGAGCAGGTGTACAAGAGCTGGAAGCAAGCACAGCCCAGCAGCTAACCCAAGCTGGCCAGTGGAAATACTCCATAGATGTCATGCTCAGTATATAAATGAGTGTTGGCCACGGGGCAAGAATCTTTTCCTTGAGTTCGACTTTTCCGTGAGTTCAGCGAAATCGGCAAGTTCTGCAGTCATTGCTCGGGGACTGGCTGTGCAATGGGTCATCGTGCTGTGAGAAAAATGGTATTGTGTATTGCTTGTTTGGCATATTCATTATTATTATTCCTTTCTTTGTTGTCTTATTAAACTGTCTTTATCTCTACCCACGAATTTCCCCTTTTGTGCATTCTCCTCCCCACCCCACCAGGGGAGAGGGAGAGGAGCAAGTGAGCAACTGCGTGGTCCTAGTTGCCAGCTGCTGGCTTACACCACGACAATATGACATTACCTAGCACTGTCATACTTTCAACGTTTTTATATTTAGACCAAATTTAGATACCTTCCCCTTTTTTAATAACTT